TGGGTTTCCATGGGTTTTGACCCTGTCATCATGACATGCCAAAAGTATGATGTGAGTGGGTATCGCTTCCATACAGAGGAGCACCAGAACAGTCGGCCTGATCCCAAAACCATAAATACCGGAGTCTTCACTGAAGGAGATAATAAAGTAGATTACTACGGAAGGGTAGGAAAAATATACGAGCTTACATTCAAACATGGCCGCGAACACCTAAGTCTCACTGTGTTCAAATGCCGATGGTTCGACCCCAAAAAGGGTCTGAGACATATGCCTTCTGTTGGTTTAGTTGAAGTTAAACCATCAACCGTCTATGCCGGAGCTGATCTCTTTATCGTCGCTACACAGGCCACACAAGTATATTATCTTCCTTACCCATGCCAGAAAGAGTACCTAAAGGGTTGGGAAGTTGTGTTCAAGGTGTCGCCGCATGGTAAGCTACCGGACTCGAACGATGATGATTACTACAACATAAACCCCATGACATACGAGGGAGTGTTCTATCAATAGGAACATGATGACGTGGTCCGAAACAACGAGGATGATGACTTGGGTTATGTTGACCTGGACCCAAACGACGACGACGCACGGATTGATGGTGAGGCAGTTGTGAATCAAAGAGACATAATTATGCTTGAAAAGTTAAATGAAGACGCTGACGATGAGGAAGAGCCTCCACCTCCGTCAGACAATGAAGAAGATATGCATGATAGTGATGATGAGACCGGTCCACAAATAGATTACAATAGTGATGATTCTTATGGGTTCTAAAAAATGTAAGTTCTTTTAATGATCATTACAATAGTATGCTTAATGTGCTCTTCTGGTATTAATGTTTTTCCTGTATGCTTGTTTAATTGATATCCTTACTAATTGTTTATTCTCTTCTCTCAATGCAGGTTTGCTAATCATGGGCAAGTCCAGCAGTGTCAGTTTCCTCAGTAAATTCAAAGGACTTACTCGGAGTGGACGAGCCCACAAGGTTCCCTCCCGACTACGCGAGGATGACACCTCACAGGGAGGTGGAGGGGTCGGGGAGGAGACCCTAGAGGAGGAGGCGGTGGGGGGAGAGCCCCTAGAGGAGGAGGAGGTGGGGGAGAGGCAGCCGGGGCAAAAAATTCCGGGCCGTGTCCGAAATAGGAGGGTCTTCTTCGATGCCCTCCTATACAGAGGCACCTTCTGAGTCTGAGGAGGAGGAGTATGTTCCTGATGGCGAGGAGGAGGAGGGTGAGGAGGAGGAGGGCAAGGAGGAGGAGGTCGAGGAGGAGGGTGAGGAGGAGGGCGAGGAGGGTGGAGGGGAGGTTGATCCCGAGTTGTGGGGTGACTTGCCACCGGGTGCTCCGCAGGGGTGGCTGCGTGATAATGCCGGACTACCTACACCACCTTCTATCGAGGAGCACAAGTGGCTCATTGAACCTGTGGGGACAGAGTAAGTGCCTCTCAATCATATTTTCAACACATCACAACATTTTCTTATTGTACACATGGCAATCATTTGATTCTTTTGCAGAAATTGGATCCTTCGCGGAAAGGGCCGTAAACCGAACGGCCTTATCACTGTCCTATTGAAGGAGTTGCGGCCTGGCCTATTCTGCCCGCGGCTAGACAGGGACCCGCAGCTGCGGGTTTTGTCCATGAGCTGGGGCCACTACGAGGCTTGCAGCAACGCGGAGTACGGGACGGCCGCTAAGGCCGTGATCACCAAATTTTGGGTAAGTTCTCTTCTGAATCACTTGTCTTCAGTTTCGTTCATAGTTTATCATTGAATCACTCAACTCATGCCTTGTTTGCTTCTGGTTTATGCATGATTGCAGCAACTCTATAGAGTTCTTGACGAGCACAAGGCTAGAGCCGACGTGGTCTTGCTTGCGGCTGCGAAGAAGAAAGCTCGTCAGTTGCAGTACAAGGTGCGCTGGGTTGCCGTCTCGCAGTACTACCACATCTACCTGCAACAAAAGATGACCAAAACTCAAGCGCAGAGGCAACGACTTACCTTGAACAGGGAGCAGTTCATGATGGTAACTATTACTAACTTATCATTGTTTCAAGCAGTCAACTATATGTTTCGTGCTCACATGTCATGCTTCCAAAATTTGCATAGGTTGTTCCTCGTTGGTGCTATGGAAGGCATGACGGATGGGCGGGTTTGGTGGATAGGTGGCTCGGCGACGATGCAGAGTTTGCTGCCAAGAGCATCAAGGCCCGGGCTAACCGTGGAAAAGACGGGACACACGGCCAAGGAAACAGGAACCACTGGGGCTTCAAGGCCATGAAGGTATATCTATATGCATGATGCATTTTTTTCTTCTTTACCGTCATGTTCTTATGTATGGCTAACTTCTGTTTGACGTTGCAGGAGGACAAGTTAAAGAGGCCGCTCTCAGACATTGAGTCGTGGAAGCTGGCCCGCGAGCGGAGTCATCCCAAGGAGGGTGAGAGCCAGTACTACGGCAAGACCGAGGAGCACCTGGAGTCTTACACTCAGCACTATCAGAAGTTGCATCCGGATGTTCCTGTTCCTGAGGTCACCCAGTCTCAGATCGACGACACGGCGGTGGTGGCCATCCAGGGGAAGTCACATGGCCGGTATCCGTGTTTCGATGGCTTGATAACTCCTTCGATCTCGTACACACGGCTTCGGTCTACCAACCCGAGCCAGTTAGAGAGTACGGGGCGTTCACAGACTCCCTTAGCCTGCCAGCATGCTGTAAGTACTTCCCCTTTATCTTTTTCTCTCTAGCATTCTCAGTTCATTTTCAGCATTGCTCACTTAGAAACAACCTAAATTATGTAGGCATATCAGGCCTTTGTCGAGCATAGGAATCTCGAGGTGCGAGAGTACTTGCAACGAGTGAAGGCAAATGATGATTACAACCGTCAGATGATGGCGGTTAGTTTTGCCCTCTTAAAATCAAGCTAAATTTTTGCACTTTCATTCCTTCTGACCTTCTAGTTTGCTTGTTTAACTAACATCCAGGCTATGTTGGCGTCTTGGAGTAACCGCACGGATCGACCACAAATGGGACCCCCACCACCACCTGCGGGAGAACCCCCACACGTGCCCACGTTTGATGAATGGGTGGCACTAGGCAGTGATGGTCCGGTTAGTACATTTGCCTAACTACTGGCAAACTAGTTCTCGTTCATTCAACACTATCATATCATATTTACCGTTAGAATCTTTTCTGAAACATGTAGGGGACCGGTGGCTCGACTACTGCTCCGTCGACCCCAGTCACTCCGATCTGGCAGAGTGATGGTGGTCGCGGTGGCGGTTTTGGCGGAGGTGGTCTTGGTGGTGGTGGTTTTGGCGGAGGTGGTCTTGGTGGTGGTGGTTTTGGCGGAGGTGGTCTTGCTTGATGTCGATGATGATTCCGTGCATGTGGTCGCCGTGCCATGCCTTTCATGTTGCTACTTTTATGATGTTCCATGTCTTGCACTACTTTTATGTTCATGAACTTCCGCCGGTGATGATCTTTAGATGATGATGATGAACTTGACTATGTTTAGATGATGATGCTGAACTTGACTATAAGCCCAGGAGTTACCAGGGCTTGCCACGTGGCAGATCTATGCCTACGGCAATGCCGTCGGCATATATTTTCATCTATACCGACGGCTTTCCCGTAGGCATAGCCCTGCCGCCAGGAGAAACCAAGGAAAGACACGTGGCGGTGCTATGCCTACGGCAAAGCCGTCGGCATAGATCTATGCCGACGGCTTTGCCGTAGGCATAGCACTGCCACCAGGAGCACCACGGAACGCCACGTGGCGGAGGTACGCCGCCGCCGGCATAGATTTCTACCTATGCCGACGGCCAAGCCGTCGGCGTACCACTGCCACGTGGCGTCCCATGACTCGTCAGCGCTTTTGACGGCGCCGTCCGTTGCCGTCAGACGGAAAAACACTGCCGACGGCTAAACTATGCCGACGGCTGACCCCGGCCGTCGGCATAGGGCCCTATACCGACGGCTATACTACGCCGACGGTCTGACAAGACTACGTTGACGATATCTACGCCGACGGGTCTATGCCGACGGCAGCCGATGGCAAAGGACCTATGCCGACGACCCCTGGCCGTAGGCATAGACCACGAGTCCGGTAGTGTCTCCATCAAGCAACATCCAGAGGCGGACATAGTCAAAGGGAAAATGTCTATCTCATATGACAGTAAGAATACTGCTGGTCGGGGCAAAGAAAGTCAGGAGGTGGCCGGATGGCCGAATGCTCGCTGGTGCAAACCTCCTCAGGGGTGGCATAAGTTGAATGTGGATGGAGCCTTCGACGAGGAGCTTGGCGTTGGTGGAGCAGGGATGGTCCTACGCGATGATACGGGTGGTGTCATATACTCTTCTTGCCGCTACCTTAGAGCCTGCTCATCGGCTTTGGAGGCAGAGCTGGCAGCCTGCTTGGAGGGTATCAACATCGCAAGCGCATGGAGTACAGCCCCAATGATCCTTGAGACTGGCAGTCTGGTTGCTGCCAACATGCTTAGAGAAAGAGAGATAAATAGATCGCCATGTGCGTCCTTTGTAGGGCAAATAAAGAATCTTCTTGCGGAGATGAGTGAGAATGGTATATCTCATGTAGGTAGGAAGGGGAACATTGTAGCATATGAGCTAGCCAGGATGGGGAGAACAGAGCAGCGCACTGCGGTTTGGTTGCGCGGGGGGCCGGATAATATTGGCAACTTATGCCAAGCAGACTGTAATGATCCTTCTTAATTAATGAAAACCTTTCATTCGCAAAAAAAAAAGATAAACACGATCAGGTTGTCTGTGGTTTTATGGGTTCGTGATGTGACGTCTGAATCTGTGTTTGCGCGTCCACGTTGACTTTAACCAGTCGCCGAACACAAGCTTCTCAACGCCCGGTCCAACGCAGCAAAACCGTCCTTCACCCGCAAGGAACCACCCCCTCCAAATCCCCCACAGGCCCACACCACCCCTCCAAAAAACAAAACCCACACCAACGCATCCAAACCACACGGCCACGACCGACCGATGGCCCAGCCACCGGCGGCGACGACTCCGGCAGCGGCGTACGGGTGCGCGGCGTGCGGCGCGGACCTGAACCTGTCGGCCTCCCACCTGTACCCGGCGAGGACCTACTTCGAGGCCGGGAACAAGGGCACGCTGTCCTTCAGCTGGGTGGACGAGTCGCGGCTGCGGTTCGCGGCGGAGGACCGGATCCGCCCCTTCTTCGAGACGCTCGACTACTGGGGCATCCAGCGGAAGCGCACCCGCGTCAGCTGCGACGCCTGCGGCAAGCTCCTCGGCCACGTCTACGACGACGGGCCCCCGCTCATGGACGGCACCGGCCAGCTCGGAATGGGCCCCAGCCAGGTCGTCCCCCGCCGGCCCAGGTACCGGTTCAAGGTCAAGGCCGTCACCGCCGCCGGTTCCTCCGCCGCCGCCGCGCGCTGACCGCTGAGTTGAGAAGCTTGATTCGTCCCGTGGCGATGCTTGCTTACAGTTACAGATGTGTTTCCTTCCTGCTGTAAATCAGTACTACTACTACTAGATGTAAAAAATGTGGAATTTACTGTGGATTGTGTGTGAAATCGAAGATGTTGTGATCATCAAGCTTCTGATCCGATTTGCTGTGAAAATCGAAGTAGGAGTAGTTCTGAATCATCGTGCTCCCGATCTGAAATTCTGAACAGTTCGCTGCTCTTTGGTGGCCTGGTGCCTTCGCCGCGAGTCGCAACCCAACCAGGTCAAGTCGCCACTCAGCCCGACCCGACCCCGACCCACAAAAGGAACCCAACCGACGACCCGACCCACACGACGCACCACCATGGCCGTGGCCGCACGCGCACGGGGCTCGCCGCTCCTCCGCGCCCTCTCCGGCACGAGGGCGCGGCCGCCGCTGGCCCGATCCATCCACGAGGGGCCCGACACCATCGACGAGCTCCTCGACCGCCACCTCTCCAAGAAGGGGCCCACCCCCTCCGCCATCCTCGACGACGACGCGGCGGAGGCCCTGGCGCGGCGGAGGCTGACGAGCTCGCGGCGGGAGGCGCTGGGGCTGTACCGGGACATCCTGCGCGCGACGCGCCTGTTCGAGTGGCCCGACGAGCGCGGCGTGCCGTGGCGCGACACGCTGCGCGCCAACGCGCGCCGCGAGTTCGAGGAGGCCCGCGGCGAGCGCGACCCGGAGGTGGTCGCGCGGCTCCTCATCGGCGGCCGCGATGCCGTCGACCAGGCCCTCGAGCGCGTCGCCGACGCCTCCCGCCGCATGGTCCAGGCCGAGGAGGCCAAGCGCCGCGGCGGGCCGTAGATCCCCACACCCCCACCCCGACTCGATGCGCCCCATGCTTCCTCTTCTTCTTCAGCTGCTGCTGCTTATATTTGTTAATTTGGTTGTAAAATTCCCTATGTGCGAATATTTATGTGATGTGACACAAAATGAATTGCTTATGAAGCATTTCATCCTTGTCAATTGTCATGCCCTGTTCTATCTTTGCCAAGAAATGTGACAGGAAATCAACTTCCATTTTGCATTTGATCCATGTATGATGTATTGTGTTATACAAAGTTACCAGTAATTTCAAAATTTTCAGTTGAGAAAAATTGACTTTGTACATCACATCATCGTCAGTTACAAAAGTCAAAAAGGCGATGCTTCTTCCAATCCGTGAGTAATCTCCATTGCCAGCAGCAAGACAAACCCTTGCTCTTCGAGCCGATGCGACGAGTACATGAGAGTTGATCCCTTATGTATGTTCCCTGAAGATTGTACTGGTGCTGGCACCAGAAATTCAGAAGCTTTTTTTTAGAGCAAAGGAGGATCAGAATTCAGAAGCTGTGTGATGTCTGAATCTGTGACATACCAGCTGCAGCTTGTCATGAAACCATATCTGCGTCCTGGCGCTCTCTTGCTTTTGCTGAAATGCATTCAGGCTTGCCATCAACGATAACCATTCTGTTCACCAGTAGTCACCGCAGCAGCAAGACCCATCCGAGAATTGGTGATAGATATTTGTGTCGCCGACAACAATCCTCCGTCCCGAATATTTCGATATCAACTTCAGCGCATGATGGCAGTCGTTGCATATGCGCACGTTCTTCTTGACAAGAATTGGGGTTCTGGCCTCGGATGATATCAGACCAAAGACGACAGCCAGCCTCACACTATGCTTGTTGGGCTCTGTTGTTCTCCTCGACTCCAGAGAGGTTGGATCAGATTGATTTGTTGGGTCAACCATTTCTCCAATCTTTCCTGACAGAAAGTTGGACACTTCCTGAATCATCTTGCTCTGAGGGTGCGTCGTGTCCCCGTTGACAAAACTGCAGGAGATGCCATGAAGCTCAACTATGCTTGTTGGTTCTGTCCTTCGCAGCCCCTTCTCCTCCATCAGTGATCTTATTCTCTCGACATCGTTCCATCTCCCTGCATCGGCATACATGGAAGAAATAAGAACATAGCAACCTGTGTTGTCATGTTCCAGTTGGTCATGTTCGAGTTGAAATATCCTCTCTGCTGCGTATTCTGCTATATCCATGTCATTCCTATTCCTGCTTGCAGTCAGTAGGGAGCCCCAAACCCTGAATGTTGGATCTATTGGCATTTTTTCAATAAATTGCATAACCTCTCTAAGATCACCTGCCCGACCAAGCAGATCTGTCATGCATCCGTAGTGCTCAATCTGTGGGATCATACCATAGTCACGTTGCATTGAGTTGAACTGCGTCCAGCCTTCATCTGTCAAGCCTGAAACACTGCAAGCAGTCAACACGGAGACAAAGGTACTCTCATTTGGTTGCAGACCATTACATCTCATCTCGGAGAACATCTCCAGTGCAGTTCTCCCCTGACCATGAATCGCATAGCCCATTATCATTGTGTTCCAAGAGATGACATCCTTACCTGCCATTTTGTCAAATATCTCTCTCGAGGACAAAACATCACCACACCTCGCATACATATGCATAACTGCGTTCATGATGAGAGTGCTCTCCCCGTAACCTAGCCTGACAATGTAGCCGTGCATTTGCCTGCATTGTCTCAGCAACCCCAGCAAAACAAACGCCGGTACTACTGCCGACATGGTGAAATAATCAGGGTAAAGCGGCTGATTCAGTAATTCAAGGAACAATGTGATCGCTTCAATATACATCTCCTTGTACATGTAGGCGGCGATCATATTGTTCCATGATACCAGAGTTTTGGTCGTCATCTGACCAAATACCTTCTCCGATGATTTCACTTTGCCAACTTTGCTGTACATCTCGAGAAGCGCGGTCTCGAGCACCACATGAGGAAGAAACTGTCTTCTGGTTATGTAACCGTGAACACTCCTTCCATACAGCGAGCTCTCAGTTTGAGCACAGGCAGCCAGCAAATTGATAGCGGTAACCACTTCCACCTGGTGGCCCTCTTCCTTCATTTGCACGAAGCAATCAAATGCCTCCTCGGGCCGTTCGTTCAGGGCATACCCACCTATCATACAATTCCATGTCACCACGGTCCTCAGTGGCATCGTCGCAAACACGCCCTCGGCAGAAGCAATGTCGCCACACTTGCAGTACATGTCAAGGATAGAAGTGCCAACCTTGACGTCATGCTCCATCCCGTGCCTGATCACATAGGCGTGCACCTCCCGCCCTTGCATCAGCGCAGATTCCAAGCAGCACGCGGCGAGCGCGGCTATGATCCCGACGCAGTCATGCTGCACCTCCAGCGCCTCGTGCATCTCCCTGAAGCAGCCCAGGGCCAGCGCCCCGAGGCCGTTGGACACGTAGCCGTCGACCATGGAGTTCCAGGTGACGATGTCCCTGGCCGGCATTCCGTCGAACACTCTCTCGGCGTCGCCCACCATGCCGAGCCTGGCGTAGAAGGCGAGGAGCGAGTTGCCCGTGTACACGTCGGCGGCCACCACGCCGAGCCTGATCGCCGCCGAGTGCGCCGCGCGGCCGTCCTCGAGCGCCCCGAGCCGCGCGCAGCACTTGAGGACGACGGGGAAGGTGAAGCGGCCGGGGCGCGCGCCGGCCGCCAGCATGGCGCGGTAGGCGGCCAGCGCGGCGCCCGGGAGGCCCGCGTCGGCGAGGCCCCGGATGACGACGTTGTGGAGGAACGCGTCGCAGCTGCCGGCGGCCGCCAGGGCCTCCAGGGCGGCGTCCATGCGGCCGGCGGCGGCGTGGGAGAGGACGAGCGACTTGGTGGCGCCGCGCTTGGGCCGCACGCGCGGCGGGGGCTCCTTGGAGGTGGCCGCGGCGAGGTGCTGGGAGGCGCAGGTGGAGGTGGTGGTGGCGGCGGCGGCGTGGGCGCCGCGGGAGGCGAGGACCAGCGGCGTGGCCATGGGTGGAGCACGGGGCCTATCCGGGAGGAGCCGAGCCAACCAAGCGAAGCAACGGGACAAGAAAGAGGGTGGTGACGTGTCGCCTGGATTGCACTGTCGTAACGGCGCTGTGAAGTGAAAATTACCTTCTCCAACTTCACCCAAGCTTCGGTTTGCATTCACATCATTTCTTTGGCTTCTTTGTCCGTGGCAAAGTCGAAGTCGCTTGCTCAAGAAGATGAGGAAGATGACTACAAATGTGATGTCTCGACGTGACTTCTCGTAAAGGTGTGAGTGGGATATCTTGTTTACCGCTCGGTTAATTATGACAATTTTTACATGATTTTCTCCTAATTAACCAACAACTCTTTTCTATCTAATTAGTCGATGAGGCAAATTTCTTTTTTTGGCTTAGTTTAAAACTAAATAAAATTCTTGGGCTTTTTCTGAATCACAACTAAGCTTATGGGTTATCCAGTGTATTTTATCCTCAACAATGTGGATATGGTTGGTTTTAGCCTACGGTTGCCTTACCAAAATAGTTGGCTATTCAAAACTTTAGTGGAGCTTTTATTTGCCCATGAATTGGCTCCAAGCACACCTGCTCCCTCCTTTTTCGGCTTATAGGGTCCACCTATTTTGACTTAAAGTCAAAACCTTTTATCTTTGATTTAGCATTTTGTCCATGTGTCACGCCATGAGCTCGTGGCATGGCAAAGCCTACCAAAATAGGTTTTGATTGTCCAGCATCAGCTAGGAATGACAAGTGCGTGAAAAATACAACTGCACCGGAGGTTTGGAGGGGTTTTGTTTGCTTTAAACTTCCTATAAAATATTGCCTCTAATATCTGAAGTAGTACAAGCTACTCCAGAAAATACTTGTGAGAAAACAGAGTTACGAGAACAAGCATGCATCACTGTAGCTGGATACAGATTGGGAAAAATGTATCAACAGCAGATACTACAAAAATGTTTTGAATTTGCGACGAATTGTTCTGATGATAATCAGGTGTGATGATAGCAGATGTCCTCCGTAAGTTGCTAGCCCATGTTTCAAGACGCATGAATTATACACATTGCTTCCTTTTCAGGATCTGCAAAAAACACGTTTATTAGTTCATCGCTTTGACACGTCGTACAATGCACATTCCTCGAGTATATCTATATATCACACAGCTGAAAGGATCGATATGGTTGACTAGAGGGGGTGAATAGGCAACTACCAATTTAGCTTTTCTTTACCAAATTAAACTTTGCATCAAAGTAGGTTGTCTAGATGTGCAACTAGGTGAGCAACCTATATGATGCAATAACAACAAGCATACAAGCAAGCAAGGGTAGAAACAATAAAGAGTTTGCACAAGTAAAGGTAAGAGATAACCAAGAGTGGATCCGCTGGAGACGAGGATGTGTTACCGAAGTTCCTTCTTTTGAGGGGAAGTACGTCTCCGTTAGAGCGGTGTGGAGGCACAATGCTCCACAAGAAGCCACTAGGGCCACCGTATTCTCCTCACGCCCTCACACGATGCGAGATGCCATGATTCCACTATTGGTGCCCTTAAAGGCGGCGACCGAACCTTTACAAACAAGGTTGGGGCAATCTCCACAACTTAATCGGAGGCTCCCAACAAGACCATGAAGCTTCACCACAATGGAATATGGCTCCGAGGTGACCTCAACCATCTAGGGTGCTCAAACACCCAAAAGTAACAAGATCCGCTAGGGATGAGTGGGGGAATCGAAAATCCCTTGGTGGAAGTGTAGATCGGGGCCTTCTCAACCACTCCCGAGCAAATCAACAAATTTGATTGGCTAGAGAGATAGATCGGGTGGAAATGAAGCTTGGAGTATTTAATGGAGCTTGAGCAATAAATGGAGCTTGGGGGAGGAAGAGGTGGGTGAGAAGGAGGAAGGGGACTCCCTTTTATAGTGGGGGAAACAATCCCGTTGCCCCCCACCAACCAGCCCCGCACAGGGCGGTACTACCGCTGAGAGGGGGCGATACTACCGCCAGGCGACGGTACTGCCGCGCCAACCAGCGGTACTGCCGCGCCGAGGAGACTTAGTAGGGAACGAACCCAAATGCGGTACTACCGCGGTGGTAGGGCGGTACTACCGCTCCTGGAACGGTACTACCGCCACTACAACCGTGACTAGTGCCGCAAAACCCGACACGAGAAAAAGACCTCTCGAATCGAGGCGGTAGGAGCCAAACTACCCAGCGGTACTACGGTAGTGGGGTCAAGGGCGGTAGTATCGCTGTGGAGCGGTACTGCCGCTTGTGACCCTTCGGCCATAGTACCGCAGGCAGTGCGGTACTACCGCTGGGGCGCGCGCGAGAGAAAAGGGATCTCTCAAATAAGCTGAGGACCAGCGGAGGAGCCAGGCCCCCAGCGGTACTACTGCTGTGGAGCCACGGCGATACTACCACTGCGAAGCGGTACTGCCGCTTGTGGCTTCTCAGCGGTACTACCGCTGGGTGTGCGGTACTGCCGCTTAGACCTAGACAGAACAAGGAAGAGAGGAGAGATCTCTTCAATGGACAGGAAAAGCTCGGAGGGTGAGAAGCTGATGTGTACGTGATGATTCCATCCAAGCAAAACCCCAGCGGACCCCCTCTTGATAGTACGGTGCCCTCTACACAACTAGTCCACCTAGAAAGAAACGAAAGAGCTACACCGTCTTGAAATACACTCCGAGGGGAAGAAAGCGTCTTGTACCAAGGGAGAATCTGAGAATAATTCAACGCACAAGATTAGTCCGCAAATATGTTGTCATCAATCACCAAAACTACCTTGAGAGAGATATGCCGTAACAATCTCCCCCTTTTTGGTGGATTGATGACAACAAGGGATTTGCGCAAGGAAAAGAATTAAAACGAATAAAACTAAGAACTACAAAATATAGACGGGCTCCCCCAAAACGTGTGCACCAAGATAAGGCACGACACACACATTCGGATCAACACTCCCCCTATATTTTATAGTCCAACAACACTAAGCACAAGATATATGAGAGAAGAGAATAAACAGGACAAGCATGCATCTCAAATATAAACTACAGTACTCTGAAGAGACATAAGTAATAAGGTAGCGATAGGGAGCATATGTCTTACACCATATGACTAGGACTAAGGTCTCACACCAAACCAAACCAAAGAAGGAACACACAAGAAAACACAAGACGACTCAAAGCACGACACAAGAAGCAAATCCCTACACACTCTTCCCCTTTGGCAGCGAGACACCAAAAAGGGCATAGAGTGACACTACGACTCCAGGTGATGGGAGGGGAAGGTCTCGAACATCACATCTCTGCATCTTCATCGTGGGTCGAAAACTGCTCGGCATCGGAGTCGGTCCAGTGGCAATTCTGATGAATCCAGTCCTCCTCTTCAGTGATCTGACCCTCAGACCCACTGACAACAGTTGCTCCCATCTGACGCATGAGCTCCTTGTGGCGCGCCCTGGCATGCTTCTCCGCCACATGAGTCATGTACTGACCATGAGACTCCATGCAGAAAAGCTTCTTCATCTTGCGCTTAAGCTTCTGTGCCCACGACGGTTCTGCACTAGAGGGGCCAAAGTTCTCCTCATGATCATCAGTAGCAGCCTCACCCTCGGTCCCCATGGCAGCAGCAGCAGTAGCATCAGCAGACGGACCCCCTGTGGCAGCAGTAGCAGATGGACCCCCTGTGTGAGGCGATGTCCAGTTGTCCTTCTTCCTCAGACACTTGATCTCATGAGACACCAAGTCTCCAGTCTCTAGCAGCACTCTGGGATAAGTCTATGCCCAGGCCCTCTCAATGAGCCTCATGATGAATGGACCATAGATAGGACACTTGCGCTCAGACACGTCAGATAGAAGTTCAGACCACATGACATGAGAGATATCCAGGCTCTCTCCAGTGCTTGCTTCCTTCTCATGCTGACAGAAAAGGAGCATGTCCACGAGGTAAGAGTGGACCATATCCAGATTCCCGATCCGAGGGAAGAGAGTCTCACGGAATATGCGATGAAGAATGTCCAGATACGGAGACAGCTCATAGGTCTTCTTCTGAGTGACTGGGTGAACCTTCACAGTGCAGTAGGGCCAAAGGGCTTGCTTGTGGATGGATGTAGCATTGCGGTGAGGACGGAAACCGATAGGAGTCTCAAGCCCGGTATCCACCACATCAAATAACTCCATGAAAGCCTTCCACTTGACAGAAAGCAGCTTGCCATTGGTCATCCATGTCAGAGTCCTGTCGACATCCGTCCCAAGGTGGACGGTGGCATAGAATTGAGCCACCAAATCTGCATCGAAATCCTTATTGAATTGCATGATCCTGAGAATGTTTAGCTGAGTGCACATCTGAAGAGCTTCGCCAAAGTACTCCGGATCCTTCTCCATAGCATCAGTGTCAATGGAGCGAACATCAACAAAAAGATTCTTCTTGGCCTTGATCACATCAAAGTAGATGGCAAACTGAAAACGGTTCCAGAACGGGCGGTTAACCAAAGTGGGTTCTTGGTCCACCGCATAGGGGTTGCGGCGACGCTTCTCCCAAAACTCCTTGTTGGTCATCTCAGTCACAGTCTTCCCTTTTGGCTTGTTGGCGGCTCGCTTCGATTGCTGAGGAGGTGGAGGAACACTTGCAGAAGCACTTGCTGGAGGCGGTTGGGTGCTCGAGGAACCACCGGCAGGCTCTGAGGTCCGGTAGCGTTTTGATGTGGCACGCCCGGGGTTGATACGGCGACCTTGCTGCTCGGAACGGTCATCGCCTGGAGCCAAACACAAGAACAACGCGAAACAACCAGAAAGAACAAGCATAAGCCAACAAACACAACAAAAAGATCAAGGTAAGGCAGGAGAATGATGGAAATTGGCATGCAGCGGTAGTACCGTGACCTGCCCGCGGTAGTACCGCCCCAAGCGGTAGTACCGCCCCAAAGGGAGCGGTAGTACCGCTCTAGGTCAAGCGGTAGTACCGCTCCAAAGGGAGCGGTAGTACGGCTTGAGGCGGACAAACAGCAGTTTCA